GCTATATCTATATATGACTTACTATTAAACAGTAGTATCTAATATAATTATAGAGGTTGTTGTTCTTTTTTCCAGGGTGATACCAATCGAGTAATTTGTCTGTGAACCGGTCAGTTTACAGCTACAATTACGTCATTGCTGACACAACACCGAAATGTGTTACGTCAACTTGGGTGGGAGCAAGCTTAGATCAAGAGCTCAATTTCTGTGAACACGTTCTTACATTATATAATGTGCAGGCCTTTAGGTTCTACCGTTAGAAATTTTGGTTCAGTGCGGAATATTAGTTTTTGAAGGGCGGTAGTCGTTGCGCCACGCGTGTGCGAGATATATGGGTCTCATATAAACAAAGATGGCGACTTTGGCTGTTATGCAGATCAACGCACACAAACGGGGACGTTACCATGCTTTAATTAGTTATATTTTAGGTGATTGGAAGATATCGAAGGAGTCAACGGCGGTAATTAGTGCAAGACGCGCCCAGATCAAACCTCACACTTGTGATTACCATTAAAAGAGCGCATTGGATTGTGGGAAAATCCATGTTTATCAACACGAATTCGCACATGCGCGGCGCGCTTTAAAATGTGATATCTCACCATTATATTTCGAATCTGCTCTATTTCAGGGAATAATGTGCGTCACGACCAATTAAAGAGAATGAGGGGGTGCACATCGGAATTCATAAGGTGTAAATTTCATGTTCACGTTACAGTTTAAAGTCCCATATGCAAGCATGGTAATGTTGGCGATCCGCTCCGCTACGATTGCCCTTAAAATCACTTAGAAAGAAACGCGAAACGGTCAGAAATAATAATTATAAAAGCAGAATATGTGTTAGTAATAAAGTGAGGTGACTTCCCAATTCTGAAGATTGAGATGCTTTTTGCAAACTTCGCATACGGGCCCGGTTTTAGTTATAAACCGACGTTAGCTTCATGTTCATGTCCTACCACGGCAATAGCCGAAAACATGTTGTTTGTTTTTTGAGCGTAGCGGATCGCCAACTAGCTTGTCTAATATTTCAATTTATCTGTTCTTAGAATTTTGCCTAAAAACGGTTTTACAGATTTTGTTCACGGAACTGACTCTGTATGTAATGGTTTTTCAGAATCTCAAGAATCTTTTTGACTTTGTTAAGAAAAATGATTTTTGACGATTTGAATGTAAAATATAGGAAAAGGGTATATTAGCTGGATTTTATCATCACTAAATAAAGTATTTTACAGTAATTCATTTGCTCATAGTCGGATTTGTGGGCTATATTCGAGTTTGTCTTCAATAATTCACTATAGATGGACTGTGCTAGAATATTTGGAAAATGGTGGCATTCGTAGTCATTGGTATACAACCAGATATTTTGAAAAATGTATCCTCTCTCAATATTCCTCGCTGTCGTCTGGTTTCTTGCAAGTAAAAGTAGGTCTCAGTGGACATAAATAATGCCCACTGTTTCAGCCAATCAGCTTGTAATCCCGTCTCCGCCGAGAGTTGACACGCCCGCTGTTCTATGTGCCGGCTTTAGATAATTCACTATATCACTCGCGTCTCTCACGCTGCACCGTATCCACACGGAGGCATATCCACTGCCCTGCGTGCACCGGGTTACATGTAAAGGGCGGCAGTCGTCGTGCCGCGTCCTGTTCGATATGGGATTCATAGCGACGTATACAACGCGTGTAAAATACATTGTTTATTTACATGAAGTTCGAACACGGGCTGCGCGACGACCACCGCGCTATAATTCATGTGATGCAGTAACCATCGTGGCTTTGTTAAA